ATGTAGTGTTGATGCGATCAAAGGAGACAGACCCAAATGTTGTCCCGACCGAAAACAAAGTAGTCGTCTACCGGCCACCCAATGGACAACCCGGTCTCCGATGTCTTGAATATTTGTCTTGTTCTTCGGGCTAAAGGTTTATCCCTTGCGGAATGCAAATGTTCGTTATTCTGAAGCCCCACCCTGGCTCTTGCCAAGGTCCGCAATATAGGCCGGCCATAAATATGGCCTAATGGCTGAACGCGGTTTCCTTGACCTCTCCACGGGTGATCCTCATCCACATGGTGGCACTTTGTGTTATCGGATGTTCATCGCTTGTGTGATGTCCTAGTGGGGTAAAATCTACTACTACTACTACTAAAGGTGTGAGCTCACAGTCATTCACTGAGCCACTATTATCATGTCAGTCCTACATTATCTGTGACTGTATCTGCTGTAGGAGTATCTTTTAGCATAGTGTTACGTGTTGGAAAAGATGTTGTTTCTGAGACAAATGCAAAGACTATCAGGGAAGGATAGAAAAACAAACGGTGTAGTCCTCATTGAGTCACATGAAGTTGTAAACCTATTGGAACATTTAGACGTAGGCAGTCCAGGTTTTTAAAACATCTTATGCGAAAGAATAGACTACAGAACTTGGTTTCAGTTGTTAAGATCCCGTGTTGGTTCTGGGACCCCACTGTGGGGACAACAAGAATAGACCCACTGCCTCCACAACAAGCATGTCGTAAGAGGTGACTAACTGGGGGTTTCCTTCAAAGGCGGAGTGCATCTGCCTGAGAGGTAAGGAACCAGCTGTCTGCACACAAATAAGCAAGATCTGTAAAACGGATGCACAAACAAAACTCAGGTCCTGGAACAAAGCCGAAAGTCCAGAAATGGACGAAGAACCAAGTCTTTCCGTTGGTGTCTACAGCCGGTGAATGCAAACAAACAACAATTTGCAAGATTGATGAGAAGAGAGCAAGAGGTAGGAAAATAGATAAATATCTGAATGTCTTGGCTGATGGATCGAGCGAAGGGAAAACATCAAACTGATCCGTGATTCTCAACTGTAGTACAGTTTTATAAAGCTTTTATCGGAGGGAAACTAGAATATGGAAGCACTGTCTATGAGTCAGCAACTGATTGCACAAAAAGTAAACTAGATAATATAAAATGCCAAGCACTGGCCACCATTATTAGTGCAGGTAAAGGCACATCAAGAGAAGCAATGCCAGTAGCGCTAGGTACAACAGCGTTAAATCTGAAAAGTAACAAATTATTATACAATTACTGGTTTCAGACCGCACACATCATGATCACCAAGCATGTGACGCTTTTAACACCAATACAAGCAAGTTCAAGGCGGTGCCAATAGGAAACGTTCTTAGGCCAGCAGGACAAGATGCTCAGGCAGAAATGAAAACCATTAAGTAACTAGCAAGAATGCTTGAACCATTTGTAAAAATAAGCCTGGGAAAAAAAACCATTTCACAAAACACTGATGCACTACAAGTAAGGACCATAGCAGAGGAACAAATCTGAATAATTTAAACTGACAACCTGATAATATACACGGATGGATATAAAAACTAAGAATGAAGTAGGAGCAAGTGTTTTTATTCATTTTTGGAAAATACAGAAATCTTATAACATCACAGATCATACGTCAGTTTTTACAGCCGAACTAGTGAAACATAATAAAAGCCTTGGAGACTGCAGTAGAAAATTTCCTTTGAAACTGACAATAATGACAGATTCTCTTTTATCGGTGCAGTCACTAGAAAACTATTTACAGGGAAGTAGATCAGTAACTGGCACAAAGAAACCGGATCAAAATTATAACTGACACTGCTCGCAGTAGTTTAAACGTGGTCGATTTGTAAAAAAAAAAAAAAAAAACCAGTTAGTCGACTTACGACATGCTTGTAAGGAAGACATTTATTCAATTATTATTTTCCTCCACAATGGGACCCTGAACTCATACGCTAATTTATTATTTCAAGTCCCCGGTTAGCACGGCTTTTTAACATTAACTCCTAATTTTCCAGTCTCCTTAAATTCTTATAATGATGTTTTACTGTATTATCATAATAATTTTCGTGACCGATTCCCAAATATAGAATTACTGTGTTTTTGTAACATTCTACTTTTTTTATGTCTTGCATTTGTCTTGAGCAGTCTGTCAATACCTAGGACGTGTTTCACTGTCTTATATTCATTGCACTGGTTTATACATTCACTGTCTCCTGTCGTCTATTGTTAACATGTCATGTATTCCAGTTCTGACTCTTGTACATCGGTAGATCACAATTAGTTAGGACTGCGAACGTTTTCTCATTTTCAAAAGTGGTCGTGTCAGAGACCTTCCGCTTTTGTAATAGTCATACTTCTTCTTCTTCTTCTCGTTCACTGGCTGTAAACTCCTTCGAAAAGTTCTGGTTGTTCGTCCACTTCTGGACTGCAGTCCTGTTCCAGAAACTAAGCATTGCGAGTGTATCCGTTTAACAGATCTGTATGCAGACTGTTGGTTCCTTGCCTCTCAGGCAAATGCACTCCGACTTCGAAGGAAGCTCCCAATTAGTCGACTCTTACAACATGTTTTTGGGTAGGCAGTAGCTCTATTCTTGTTTTTCCCATAGTAAGGCTCCGGAATTTCTGAAGGTTGTAATGAAAAAAAAAAAAAGATTGTATTCAGAGGATGCATTTTTTTGGATGGGGGAGGGGAAGGGGTTGAGGGGAGGGTGTGCAAATTAAAAAAAAGGGGGAGGGGGGGGGGGCATGACCTCATGAGCCCTTTCCTTCAAACCTAATTTTTAAAAAAGGTATAATATTAATATAGGCTTGTATTTAGGATGTATGAAGCCCCTGTGCGGTCACTTATTTTACGCCCTATTTTCCTTCAGCTAAACTGCAACACCGCTATTCGTTTACAAACAACAATAAACTGAAGAGTTAGTTAGTTCTACTTTACTTTAAACTGAAGTGTTTAAACACATGTGAATGCCTACCAGGGAAGACAAACATGTACAGTAAATGCGTATACTTTTATTGTGAAGGCAAAACAAATATTTGGTAAACTCACAGACAAGAATCACTAGTTAAAAAGCATTAGTTTTATATATATATATTTAAAAGAAACCTCAAATTTACTTAAATTTAGAGTCGTGAGAATCGATTTTGTTGCACCGGGTTTCATTCCACGTAGGTTAGTCTCTCTCCTTAGAACGGCTAGCCGACTGCCGAAAGCATCACACAAACCACGACCTTTATAGCTCCGGCGACGGTCCCCAAGGATGTCCGTAAAAATTGGCTCCATGAACTAAACGACGCGTCTATAAAACGAACCCACGACCTTCATGAGTCAAACGGCTTCACCACTTTCCCAGGAAGCCTCCCCCCTCCTCTTCCGCTTTCTCTTTTTTAGTAATAGCTCTATTCTGTCGCTCCATATATTTATACGGCTGCTTAATCCGTCCTTGTGTGAAGTTACGTTCTGTATAACAAAAAGTACTTATAATACAAAAAGGCTTTTATTTCTTTTTTTTTTTATTTCTTTTTTTTTTTAAGTATATAGAAACCTTGAGTTCTTAACCCTTTGGCTCGGTACTATGGATATCGCAATCATTCGGTCTTGATTCCATGATAGATGCCGCAAACTTGGAAGAATTGTGGCTTTTCTGCCTACCCCCGGGGGTGAAACCAGACCACAAGGAGTTCGTCACCCGGTCGCTGTGCAGTCGTGTTTAGCCAACAGCGCTAACGAGCCTGGCTAGATACAAGAGGGCTTAAATATATATATATATATATATATATATATATATATATATATATATATATATATATATATATATATATATTTAGGAATTGTTGATTCACTGACTTGTATTTTTCCATCCTACAATGTTCACTCACTAAATTTTACAAGTTATATACAAAGATGTCTTACGACCTTTACCATCTGTGCATCTGTCATCTTAAACAAGAATAATTCACATCAGTTAGAAAATAAACAGAAAATCGAACAGAAAATTGAATTAGCACAGGTTCACTGTCCAATAGAAAGATGGGCATGTAAAAATAGGGACAGAAGATCACAGCATTAAGATGAATGTGATTCCAAACGTCCCAGGCATACAAGCTTCCTTGACATTTTAATCTTCTTCAGATTTCCTTTAATCCAACCTGGCTCATAACGTCTTCGTTTCTTTCCGGAGAAATTCGGAGATGTCTTAAATTTGGAAGAGCTGTCAATATGGAAATTGATTTTTTTCTTTGTGTTTCAAAAGGAACCGAGCTGAAACTAGTTTAACTCAGTGTAATATCTTCTTGGCAGCTGTTGCAGCGTTGCGGAAAGACGCTTACCTGCCGGCTGCAATGTCTGGCCTTTGGATCCTTACAGGGCGGATTTGGAAAACAGTGATTGTGGATTTCAAGCTGACCAAGTCTAAAAAAACGTGCACAAAAGTTTGAAGTGAAAGCGACCAGTTTGGTGATGTGTTGATTATTTCAAACATAGTGAACCATCATAATATATTCAGTAAACCTGAGGGTGTAGAACAATTATTTCCTGTCCTGTCTGTCCTGTCCTGTTTGTCTGTCAGTCTGTCTGTCTGGTCTGTCTGGTCTGTCTGTCTGGTCTGTACTGTCTGTCCTGTCTGTCTGTCTGTCTGTCTGTCCTGTCTGTCCTGTTTACAACAGAACATCGGACAGCAAATCGAAGGGGAAGACCAAGAAAGAGATGGATATATGGTGTAGCTGAAACCTACCCAAAAAAAAAAAAAAAAAATGAACAAATCCATCACCCAGACCACCTCAGAAGCTCAAGGCAAATACAGAAAACCAGGCATATGGGCTACAACCTGATATTATTGGGACGACCTAAGGAAAAAAAAAAAAGGAAGAGTAGAATTAACCGTCAAACTGCTCATCTTAAAACTTCTCTCTGTCATATATTTTATAAACTGTGTTATAGAATTGCATCAACTAGTGTCTGTTGTTTGCTTTCAATACCAAAGTTTGCCTGGTTGTTCACGGTGATTACATCGACTGTGCACGGATTCGACGTGTGGTTGGGGGACAACCGCTTGAAGTGGGATCATGGCCCTGGCTGGTGTCTCTGAACTACAGGCAACACCACGACTACCTGGTTCTCCAGGGTCTGCAGCATCTGTGTGGAGGGACTCTGATCAACGAGTCGTGGATTCTGACTGCAGCACATTGTGTGTAGTAGGTTCACATTTGAAAGTCGTATATTACTAATGTTTCTGTTGATGCTGTTGCAACAACTGCTGCTGATACTACAGTCGCCGCCACCACCTCTCTTGCTGATGCTGTAGTTGCTGCTTCTAATAATACTACTTTTATACTCTTATTCTACTGCTGCTGTAACTACAATCTTACTTTTTGCTACTATTACTACCGTTGCTGCTGCTGCTGCCCACTGCTACTGCTGCTGCTACTGCACTACTAATACTACTATTGCAACAATATATCTATGAACTTTAACTGCTACCTTCACAAATTTTACTACTACTACTTTTGCTTCTATTATTACTATTTATACTCGTTTCACGACTCCTTCTACTGCTACAAAAACAGTTACAAGTTCCACTGTCGTTACAACTTCTTCTTCTTCTTTCGTTCGCCTGAAAAAAGATTATTTATATCTGCAATGTTGTTCCTGGTGTGAACTTCACTGTCTTTTGTAATTCACTCAGCGACATTTCAAGTTTCATCATTACTATTATTTATGTCATGACGACTGAAAATATTACCAGGATGTATGTCCTGGGGAAGTTAAGACGGCCAGCGTAAGACTGACCACATTACCCACCTTGTGCGGATTGGTCTGTAAAAATATGGTTGCTCTTCCTAATTGCCTGATGCGGCTAGAGGCGTAAAAAGGGATGTTTTCTTTTTTTTTTTAACTGAAAATATCACTAAAACTACTAAATCTTTTACCACAACAACTAGAACTAATACTAAAAATACAGTAAATAGAACTACCTGTACTGTTACCAATGCTACACATCCTAGAATTACTCTACGACATCAGCTGCTATCGTTACTAATGCTACTATAATTAATACTAAAATTGTTATGCTACTACAAAAATTACTACTGCCACCATTACTCCTGCTGCTGCGACTACTACCACTTCTTCGTCCTCTACGGTATAACCACTATCACAACTAACCTCAGTACTATATACGTAATATTACCATCACGACCAGTAATTTTAGTATTGTTATTGACATAGTTCTCCATCTGCACAGAAACGGCAGCTCATCCTGATTGAGCTGACTGTCCCGTATGAGTCGCGTTTGGACGAAAATCACATGTATAAGCTCGAGAAATACTGTGATTTAGCAGCCGGTCTGAGGAGAGAGGAGGCGTACACAGTACGTGTCTTTGCCGTCGAAGTGGGAGCGAGAGGTCTCGTCTCCACTTCACTGTACAATGTGGTTAAAGAACTAGGATTGCGCTTTAATGAACGGAAACGGACACTTAAACGGCTTGGCGAGGTTGCTGAAAGGGCCTCGAGCTGGCTTTGGACGCAACGGAACAACGTAGTGGACGGGCCTCGGTGAGCTGGTCCGGGTGTCTAGCGGAAAAGAGTTTTTCATCCCTTGAAAGTCCATCGTGTCCGAATTGTCTGCCAGTGATCCTCTGCCACCTGCTAACAAAAGTCCAACATGTGTCCGGTAAACCAATCGTAAGCTTGTCGCTCGGTCGTCCAGGTACGATGACTGTTCTAATTAGGCTGCCGCGACGACTTCTTATCTCACAGTACCTTCTGCAAATCACCAAGTCGTCTTGTCCCTATCCGAAAAAAAAAAACACCATCCGGTAATTTCGTGCAGCAGGGTACCAGCCCTGAGCTTCATGAACTCAGGTGGGCCCACCTCCGAAAGTGTCTAGGAGAATCGTGGGCCGAAACACTTGTCGACGAGGATAACTTCTACTGATGACGGGTAGATCCCTGTTGTACTTGCTCCCTGTGAGTTTATTCCTAATGGATAGACTTTGCTAAACATTTTCCACACATAGACTGAAAAGATATCAACCAAATGAAAAGTATAACCTGTCCGCTTCACATTATCAGCAACACAAAATAAAAGCCAACGTTGCGGCTAGACGGCCATTACCAGGACACTGCAAAAATCTGCGAAACCATAAACACGGAATAGTTACATAAAATCACTTAAGTGACGTATCTCCAATAGGAATCAAATTTGTGTCCTGTTAGTGAAATTTCTGACACACATCTGTTATTATCGATATCAATTTTTATTTTTTTAACTACATATGGACTGGATAGCATTTGAGACATTATATTACATATTATGTTACTATTGCTGGCACATAAATTATGGAGTGTTCCATTTGTTGTATGTTTAAAACTCGACTACAGACTAACGACACATAATCATACTTTTTATGTAACATTAATCAAGCATTTTTAAGTGTATGGTTGGGGCACGAGAAGTTATTTAAAATAATTTCTAAAATATATTCCAAAGTTCTATACCTGCTTATCCCGGCCTGGGAGAATCACAAAACTGGATTGCAGTTCTTGGAGAGTACAACAGAGGCATACCAGAACAGACGGAGCAGCGCATAGAAATTGACCAAATATTTCTGAAAAATTATACAAGTACGTACACTATGTAATGTATAATGTTCTTAGGCAAATAATTATCCTTTATTATCAATATCGTCATGATATTTTATATGCAGTGGCAAAGGCATTCATAGCAAATTAAATTAAATTACAAGATCTTTCTCAGGATATTGAGTGCAATTCAACTAGTAAGACATCAACGTGGCTGCTACGGGATACCTAAGTAAAGTAATTTGTGTGTACTCGTGTGGTTTTGTTTAATTTTTGTATGTACTGATGTACTGAGTTATGTCATTGGCTTAGGCGTTAAGACGCGCTTTGTAATACAGAGATGCCGGGTTCGATCCCAGCTTCGGGCCTTGCGCCTTGCGTTGGTTTCGACAGTGGTGTCGAGAAGCCGACCGTCCAGAAGCAATGGCAAACTACTGGACGTAAACTTGCCTGGAAAAACCACAACAGACAAAAAAATGCTGGGGTTAGTTCTGCAACGTCCTGTAAAGGATTCGCAACTAACTTTTAACTAATGAGCACTCCTCAGCAGCTGTGTACACTTTTCGTTTCTGTTTCTTGTATTAGGAAGTTCGCTGATATACTTTTTGATCTGTTTTATATCTTTTCAGGACATTGGGGTGATATATTTAAAGACCCATAGGACTATACTAGTGAATTCACCGAGAAACCGCTGGACACAGTTACTTTCATTATTTCCATGTTAGGCTGCATCGATCTTAGAGCCCAGTTTATTTACATTAAACAAATATATGTGGACCGCACCTCACATATTGGGGCTGACAGGCAATTACTGACCGCTGTGATACTTCGAAAGAATGGTGATTATGTACGCCCACACAAATCCGTCTGCTGTGCCATCAGTTCCAGCTGTGACTGTTTTCAGTACCCGCTCTGCAACTTCCCTGGACGGCTGTCTTTATAGCCTTTTTTTTTTATATAGTTATGTCATGGCCTTTTGCAGACACTATTTTCTAAGGACATGGTGTCCATAATCACCTATATATGTCTATTAACACGTTACTATCAGTTTGTTGTAACGTTAACGATTATAATGACGAAACGTGTTATTGAATCTCATCTCATCTTATTGTTATCCTTTTGTAATTTACAGTTTCAATGCGAAGCATAAACAACTAGATTTTGCCCTTTTATGTTTTGTACATGGGTTTTGCAGATGATTCTCTAATCCTTCTGTCTATATGTTTTCGGCATATCTTGTGATTTCCACTTGGTCTATTATACCTATCCATTGTGTTTTGAGAATATGGGAATCAGCGCCCGTATCGATGAGAGTATGATATTTTAGGACTAATGCTGTCATAATCTCCATTTATCGTGCTTCTTCTCAGACGGCCAACTCTTACCCTATGTACATACACTTTCTTCTTCCTGCCTGATCCTCCCTCCCCCTACCCCCCCCCCTTTCTCCCTTTTTCGTATTTTTCTTTCCGGCTCCACTGAAAACTCCATGCTCTTAGTATCCTATTTTCACGAATGCACCCTAGCACCTGTATCATTCATGTCCCGTTTGCCATAGACTTAGTCTTACAGCCGGGGTGCATACTATCACCCGTCTTTCTTTTTGTTTTAACCTAACCGTTGACTGGTTGATACTGAAAGTTACATAGGATAGACAACAACAGCAATAAAGGTATCAGATAGTCGTCTTCGTTTTAGAGAATTTGCATTTTGCAGCTTAGATTAAGATGCTATGTGGATTATCCGAAAAAGAATTAAATTTTTTGGACAAAGACCGATAAAGATAGATTTTTGTCGTGGTATGGGACGTCACAGGTTGACCCAGCCTTAAATGGGTACCAGGATGGGCTGACCTGGGAAAGTAAAGACAGCCGGCGTAATGCTGACCACATTACCCACAGAGTGCTGATGGTCTGTAAAATATGGGACGCTCTGCCCATATGCCCGATGCGCCGAAAGGCGTGAAAAGGGATCTTTTACAATGTAAATACCTGTACAACTAAGGAAAAAAGAGATAATCAGAAAACAGAAAGTCTAGTAATCCTACAGGAAAAGGCAACAAAAGAAGTTGAAGAATGTATATACCTTGGAAGTAGTTACCGCAGATGGAGACTGCAATACAGTTGTTTGTTCTTGTATTAACCTGGGTCTTGCACTCGTTCTACCGTCTAGGGATTATAACACACAATCGACGCTCGGTTTCCATTGTACCAGCTATCAGTTTATTTTTTCACATTCTATGATACATGCTGACGATTGTCCACGCATACATATCTTCCAACCGACTATTAACACTAATCATCCACACAACATTGGAACTATCTCTTTTATAAAACTACTACATCTTCTAATATGACAACTGAGTTCCTTGAATTCTTTGATGATACTGACCACGAGTCTAGCTCGGGCCTTCCCACGTCTACTCAACTGCTCCCAAGTATCTCGTGCGGTCACTTGGTGCCCGGGTTTCCAGCCTGGCTCGCTATATGCGTGGAGAGCATGCGAAGCAGGGTCATTACAGAGACTATGAAAAGGACATAACGCCAAGAATAAACATATTAAACCTATTATTTACAATGAACAACAATATGTGTAAGCTAAAAATTACTTAGTTTGAAGACAAAACTCAGATTATGGTTAGCGACATTTCAAGAATACAACCACACAGCTATGACACTTGTAGCTGATAGCAAGAAAAGTTATTCCTGAATTACAGACTTTTCGAAACTAAAAAATGCCTAAGAGGAAATCTACGAGTACATTGGATAAAGAAGATTATAAATGAAAAACCGAGGAGGAAAACGAAATGTTCATCACTCGCAAACGTTTTAAAGAAAGAAGACAGAGATATCTTGAACATGTTTACGTAAAATTTATCGATGCTTTAGCAAGGGTCTAAGGAAACCTGAAGAAGGACAGAAGACAGGAAAAAGAAGAAATGAAAAATCACATAAGATATCATAGATAGAAAAGCACCGGCAGCAATGGAGATCACTTGTGAATGTCTTATGAATCAACAACGACATGAAAATGACAAACACACACACACACACACGCACACCCGCACACGCGCACACACTAGATTTTATTATACGGTTTCCCCTGGATGGACTCGAACTTTAGTCATTATAATAAATTTGTCATTTGTCATTTTACCCAGTAATAATTTTTTTTAAACGGTCATCATTTTTTGTAGGTCCATAATGAAACGCTAGACACGTAGGTAGGTAAGCAAGTTTTACTCCACCAGGACATCACACAAGCGATAAACACCATGTGACACCAAGTGCCACCACGCTGGTGAGGATCACCCGTGGAGAGGTCCTGGAAACCCTGTTCAGACGTTAGGCCATATTTATGGCCCGGGTATATTTAGGGCCCCCGGCAAAAGCTATAGTAGGGCACCAAAATAACTAAAAATGGGGACGACAAAAAGTAACGTGACTGCTGCACAGATTTAATGAAGACAACGCCAAAATAATCTTGACAGCCTTAGGTCAGGGCCGTGCCGTGATGTGATGCATAGAGACTGTGGAAGAAGTGGCATAAGCACTGAAATCATAATAGTTGGAAAATCTACGACAAGGCCCGCATTAGGTCATAACATGGAGCAGTGTCACCACATAAACTCTTACATGCTTTTGGAGAAAGCCAGTTGTGGAGAGGCATGCTTGTGCATGCTAGTCCGAAGGGCACTTGATGATCACGAGATAACACAAAAACATTTATGCAAATGTGTCTTTTCCCCAGTTTCCCCAATACTTTAGTGGGATACTGTATTTTTTTCCCCCGCAGTTTTCCCTAGACTTTTGGAAGACATTGCCCTTCTGAAGTTAAAAAGACCAGCACATATCTCGTCTAGTGTGCGCTCTGTAGCCTTAGACATGGCCCGGACGATTCCAAATGGCACAAGGTGCAGAGCTGCAGGCTGGGGACAGCATACTGCAGGTTGGTGTGTCATTCTGATTGTGTGATGTTCACGTCAAATTTAAAGTCGACAGGATCAACGTCATTGCACCTCGAATTAAAAAAAAAGAATCTTTCATAGCTAGGTCCCTCGCCTACTCTTTCTCTAGATTTGCCTTCTTGTGGGTGCGTGTATGTGTGTGCATGTGCATGCTGGTGCAGGTATTTGTTAACCCTGGATCTGTGTTTGTGCATGTGTACGCTGGCGCAAGTGTTTGATTACCATGTGTGTAAAAACAAAAAAGAATAAAAAAGAAGAAGAAGAAGAAGAAGAAGAAGAAGAAGAAGAAGAAGAAGAAGAAGAAGAAGAAGAAGAAGAAGAAGAAGAAGAAGAAGAAGAAGAAGAAGAGGAAAAAGAAGAAGAAGAAGAAGAAGAAGAAGAAGAAGAAGAAGAAGAAGAAGAAGAAGAAGAAGAAGAAGAAGAAGAAGAAGAAGAAGAAGAAGAAGAAGAAGAAGAAGAAGAAGAAGAAGAAGTAAACGTGATTATATTATTATTAGGACATGATGGACATAGAATAAGAGGTTTTTACTCTTGAAGCAATAATGTTGATTTAAGAATAATTATAGAGTTCATTCATGTCCTCACAGACGAGCCCGGAGAACCACAGTACGGCAACGGAACAATGATTCCACATGTTGTTGTAGTACAGCGGATTCCTGATCAAACATGTCTGTCTCTGTACGGGCAGACGTGGCCAGCTATTGATGACAGATCCATGTGTTTTAGCTCCGAGGATCGGCAGGATACATGTAAGGTGAGGCAATATAGAGACCCCTTGGTCTTTAAGTTACAATGACAGTTGGCAAAACAGTGTATTCCTGTACGCATCTGATTCAAAGTTCTGATTAATCTCAGAAACGTTTTTTATATCAAGTGGTACACAAAGAAAATCATCAGATAAATGCAGTTTCAAATCCCTGTCCATCTTGCCTTTTCTCTGAACCTCGAGCATCGGCACAAATCCATCGTCACTTCCCGCTGCATCAATCTCACCAGAATGTATTGATCCATCTACTCCTCTGAACTGAACATCTCTCCCACAAGGCACCAACCGCGTCTGCCTTATCATGCATCAGTATGCCACCAAGTTGTGCAAAGCCTGCCAATATGTCCGCCTGTTCATTTCCCAATACACCAGCATATCTCGGTGAAAAAAATCCAGACGATACTACTTACCCGTGTCCTCCGCACGGATGTAAGGATGAAGAGTGTCATTTTACCAAGTCATGGCAAACAGACGACAGACGACGACAAGTCTTGTTAATCAATTTAGGACTTTGATTATCAACCGCAGGACGCTGATGTATTTGTTGAAGGGAGAATCTGAGCACCTATGGACGTGTCCGGAGTGCCGTAAAGATAACCCAAATAATAACTCAACTCAACTAAATTCGCTGGGCTGATAACCATGGCTTCCATAAAGAATATATAACGACAGAATACTTATAAGTATTCGGTGGGACACTGAACCTCTATATAAAATAGTGTGGCCCTGCACAAAATGGCTGATAGGTTATCAGCGCGAAATTCCATTAGTTTTTAGTCCACGTCTAGACCATTGTAATGAAATATAGGCAGAAAGGGGTTAAATGAACAAGCATACATTTCAGACCACCACACGGCGTACTAATCCATCACTGTGTGAAATGACAGAATGGGTGATTAGAAAGCCATGGCCTAGCCAGCTATGCAGAACACACCGCCATGACATCTGACAGTGAGGGATGAAACATTCGACGAGTACCCGTGAGCTGTGACCAACTGACGAGATACGTTCATCCAAACGTGACCACCAAGGACAGGTGACAGGGAAGTGATTAAGATGGTACGCCAGGAGGAGCGGGAAAGCGGTGGAATAAAGTCAGAGCCAGGGGCTTGAGAAGTTAGTTAGTCCCGGAACCGCTGGAGAGGAGTTAGTCCCGGAACCGCTGGAGAGGACGGTTAGCCCCGGAACCGTCATGAGAAGACAGTTAGGGCTAGACCGCTAGAGAAACCGGTCAGGAGAAAACTAGTGCTGTACTTCGTTAGAAGGTATATGTTAAACTTGGAGTTTAGCTAGAACAGTGAGTTAGCCCCGGGACCGCTTGATAGGACAGGTTAGGGCTGAACCGCTGGAAAGACCGGTTAGGAGAAAACTAGTGCTTTACTTCGTTTAGAAGGTATAGGTTAAACTTGGAGTTTAGCCATAACAGTGGTTAAGGAACTCGTAGAGGCATACGAATAGCCAGTAATAAGGAGTGTTCATTACTATTGCTTATTGAATTTATGAAGTCCGTGTGACGAGAATATTGTAAATAAACCAGCTCTTGTGTAATTGATTACATATCTGGCCTTGTTCTTGAGTACGATTGAAGAGAGCTACGAACTATATTCATTCAACTTGGCCGACGTAGGCACATCTATTTCTTGGGGGATGTATAGGCACGACTGTGCCACACCATCAGTTTCCAAACAGAAAGACTTATTGCACACTATATCATTTGAAACAAAACAGAAAGTTACCAAGAGAGGGAGGGAAAAATAAAACGCTGTCATGACATGAAGTCTGCACTCAAAGTCTTTGATATTAATACAAAAACAGAAGCTTCTATCGGGAAGGACCTAGATTGTTTCTTTATTAATACTACCATAAAACCCTTTATATTGATCATTAACACATTACAGCAACATAATTATAAATTTGAAACACACACATTTAAGATAAAATGAAGTTCTAAAAAAAATTTTTTTTAACAAGTGCAATCAAATATAACATTGTCATCAACTTGTGGGATGCAACTTTTCATTATTTTGGAGCTCCCACATTGGCTCTCGCCATGGGCCGCAGTATAGCCACACGGCTGAACGTGGTTTCCGGGGCCTTCCCATTGGTGATCCTCATTCGCATGGTGGCACTTTGTTTCATCGGGTGTTTATCGCTCTGTGTGATGTCCTATGTCTATGTTCTAGAGTTAAGCTGCCTTGTGAAGAGTCAAATCTTCAGTCATTCACGAATGAAGGATGTCTGAAGCCTAAGATATTCGCAGTCCAAAATATATTATGTCCGATTATGGGTTAGTTGTGTATCCTTTACAGGACGTTGCAGAACCAACCCCAGCAGCCCCTGGCTGTTGTGTGGTTTCTCTAGGCAAATTTACGTCCAGTAGTTTGCCATTGCTTTCTGATACCACTGTCGAAACCAACGCAAGGCGCATGGCCCGCAGCTGGGATCCAACCTGGCACCCCGGCATTACGAAGCGTTCGCATCCACTTAGCCACAGAGCATGTCTGATTATTCTATTCGCAAAATTACTGACTCTTTATTACCTCTCTTCTTAGGGTGACTCCGGAGGGCCGCTCATCTGCGATATCCCAGGTGGCCAGCCAGCCATCACTGGTATCGTGTCCTTGGGAGTTGGCTGTGGAATGACTAACTATCCCGGGATTTACACACGTGTGTCTAGCTACAGCGACTGGATTGCTTGGACTATTGCAAACTTCTAAGCTTGAGACATGTGGACTTATTGTAGAAATTAGTCACCAGATGTTTTAGCAGCAACGAAATTCGTTATATGGCTCAATCATCAATAATTACCGGCATCATGCATAAGGTCTGATAGATTGCAATGTATAGAGCATAGAGAGAGAGAGAGAGAGAGAGAGAGAGAGAGAGAGAGAGAGAGAGAGAGAGAGAGAGAGAGAGAGAGAGAGAGAGAGAGAGATAAGAGATGAACATGAGTGTACCAAGAGGAATGCCAAGAGGACCGTAGAAAGAAAAGAAAAAGGTAACTTACAAACACTTGGAGTCACTAAAATAGAAGTGAAGTCAGATACAGAATGAACGAACGAACGAACAAACTTTAGTTTCAATTTTACAAATTGGGCACGCAGGCCTGTCTGACATTCGGTGCTTCTAAGCACTCATCTTTTAGAGTACCAATGCTAGAGATGAAATAAGACGGGTGACACCTGAAGCAATAAGCCTACTGGCTTGAAATTTCAAAAGAAAGCGAATAAATGTTAGAACAGTACTTTGGTGATATTTGTTCTCTTAGAGTCTTTATAAGGACTTTGTAGAGGAATGACTTTTAACGGTATTTACATGCTCAAAACCCACATGTGGGAGGTTTTTTTTTTTAAATTTAAAACATGTCGGCTTTTTTGACATGTTTACAACATTTAAAGTCCACATATCGACTTCTTTATTTCGCATTTTATCCTACATTGACTGATCTTTCCGCAGACTTGTTAACCGCCTACAGAAGGAAAAAAAAAAACTTCGTAGCTCTAGAGACAATCCCCCAGGGATCTCCTTAAAATTTGTACCGTAAAGCGAACTATGCAGTCCATGAAAGAAACCCATTACCTTCACAACGCGTAACCCGCAAATATGCTATATGTAAATAAAATTCTAAGATGAACCACTTGTGACGATGGTACAAGCCTTTTGGTCAAAAAATTTTCGCCACTGGAGCGAGGAGAGTATACTATTCTAATATTAATAGCCTACACGTTAATAATTAATGATCAGCACTCACTTAAATAAAAGAAGAGAGTAGACCGTGTCAAAATTGATAGCCACCTTGGCAATAACGAGATGGCAGCTTGGTGTCGCAAAATGACTACATCATATTTATGAATTTATTTCTCAGGGTTTTCCAATGTTGCTAGTGCTTTCCCGGTGACTGATATATACTGTGTGTACTTTTCAATGCAACATTATAAGATAATGGAAACGCTTTCCTATAACAGCAATAGAAAATTGTTGCTGTGATTGTTATTCGACATATGCTTCGTTAGTAAAAATTTCTGTAACCTATGGTGCCATTTCAATGGGTTAAAATGAATTCTGTCCGTATTCCATAGTTGTGGATTTGAAGCTGTACGATAGACATGGCCAATAGGACACCTTTTTTGGGGGTGCCTAGTTGACCATGTTCTTAGCGCACTTGTATTCATGGCGAGGTCTGGAGGTGACAGGTTCAATTCCCGGCACGGTAACTATTGCTTTAGATTTTTATGTTGTCTAGTGTGTTCTATCATTTTACTTCTTTCTATGAGTGCCAATCAATACACTTTCTGTTACTTGATTAATTTATAAGAGCTATGAGCTGATGAGCTGTATAAGATGGTCTAACCATTTTCCATCATTGTAGTCTTAGCTTCCTAGATCTTTTCTAGAATATTACAGGGAAAAATTATATAGTAACTAGCATATTTTCAGGCTTCTTTGACGATCATCCTTTAAAAAAAAAAAAAGAAAACTAACAATTAAATGTAAATAAATGAAAACAATTTAGTTTAAAAAAGTCTTCCCCATGTGGGATGAAATTTTTGTTATTTAAAGCCTATCCCTGGCTTTTGGCGGGTCGCCCTGAATATAGCTGGGCCATAAATATGGCCTAACAGATGAAAAGAATTTCTGGGACTTTTTCATGGTGGCACTTTGTGTCACCGGGTGTTTATCGCTTGTGTGATGTTCTGGGGAGTGCAAATGGGAGTCGCCGTAGCAGGCGGTTGGATCGGAAGGTCATGGGTTCGCTTCTTGGCGGACCCTGACTTTTTTCCAAAATGACATTTTTTGGGATTGGGAATGGCTCTCAGGTCGCTTGAGTGGTTAACGGTTGCAGTCCCGGAAAGTAAAGGCAGCCGGCGTGATGCTGACCATATCACAAATTTTGTTTCGATTAGTCTATAAAATATAGACATAGCCCTATATGCCCTATAGCGTAGAGGCGTGGAAAAGGGTCCTTAACTTTTTACACACAATTTAGTCAATGGAGATTAATGGCCACCGAGCCAGCAGCCATGCATGCTAGCCATGTCAGTAGCTTACATCTCTGATATGTCTGCACCCATGAGAGAAACTAGTTGACCCTCGCTGGAGATGGGACTCTATATCTGTAGAAATAAACAATATTGCAAAAAAAAAAAAAACAGCAACGGTAATTTAAAATAACCCGGCTTTAGACAGCTTCACAATACCACAATCAGGAACAAAACA